TTTACTGAGATTTCAGAATATTAGAGCAAAACCTGATTTATTTATTTATTTATTTATTTATTTTTCTGCATGAGAGTTGCTGTTAGGGAAAAAAGTCCTGACTATATTCTCTGAAAATGAAGTTACAGAAAAAGATCAGCTGAAGCTGAGAACTGAAACTTAGCTGCTCACTGGAGGTTGGATTCACAAAGTCTTCAAAACTGTAAATTAACTGATTCACTTTAATGTTTCCCTTTACCACAGTGAGAACAGTCAGTCACCTAAAGGTACATTAGTACTATAGGTGACAGAGGGGTATGGAGCAACATTGAGAAAAGGACTCATCGCGTTCAGGCCACAGCTTAATTGTTAGCCCTCCTTTTGGATCTATTTTGAACATCTTTCACTGGATTTCTCCATGTGATGCCTGTGTATTCTCTGGAGGAAGTTCCCCTACAGACACTGCCTCCAGAAGGCTGTATGAACATACCTGTTCTGTTTTGGTACCTTCCAATGGTATCCCAAGTGTAATCTAAACACTGCCAAATCAACACAAAAAGGAGGACTAAGGAGGATCTCCATCTTTTACTGGATGTGGGGGGAAACTTAGTTACAAGAGATGAGGAAAAGGCAGAGGTGCTTAATGCCTTCTTTGCCTCAGGCTTTAGCGGCAATACCGGTTGTTCTCTGGATACCCAGTACCCTGAGCTGGTGGAAGGAGATGGGGAGCAGGATGTGGCCCTCACTATCCACGAAGAACTGTTTGGTGACCTGCTACGGCACTTGGATGTGCGCAAGTCAATGGGGCCGGATCCACCCAAGGGTACTGAGAGAACTGGCAGAGGAGCTGGCCAAGCCACTATCCATCATTTATCAGAAGTCCTGGCTATCGGGGGAGGTCCCAGTTGACTGGCGGCTGGCAAACGTGATGCCCATCTACAAGAAGGGCCAGAGGGCAGACCCAGGAAACTACAGGCCTGTCAGTTTTACAGGCAGATGAGTGGGAGATGAGTGGTTGGAGAGCTGCCAGGCAGAGAAGGACATGGGAGTGATGGTTGATAGTCGGCTGAATATGAGCCAGCAGTGTGCTCAGGTGGCCAAGAAGGCCAACAGCATCCTGGCTTGTATCAGAAACACTGTGACCAGCAGGGCTAGGGAGGTGATCGTCCCCCTGTACTCGGCTCTGGTGAGGCCGCACCTTGAGTACTGTGTTCAGTTTTGGGCCCCTTGCTACAAGAAGGACATCAAGGTGCTTGAGCAGGTCCAGAGAAGGGCGACGAAGCTGGTGAGGGGCCTAGAGAACAAGTCCTACGAGGAGCGGCTGAGGGAGCTGGTTTTGTTCAGCCTGGAGAAAAGGAGGCTCAGGGGCAACCTTATTCCTCTCTACAGATACCTTAAAGGAGGCTGTAGCGAGGTGGGGGTTGGCCTGTTCTCCCATGTGCCTGGTGACAGGATGAGGGGGAATGGGCTAAAGTTGCACCAGGGGAGTTTTAGGTTAGATGTTAGGAAGAACTTCTTTACCGAAAGGGTTGTTAGACATTGGAACAGGCTGCCCAGGGAAGTGGTGGAGTCACCATCCCTGGAAGTCTTTAAAAGACGTTTAGATGTAGAGCTTAGGGATATGGTTTAGTGGGGACTGTTAGTGTTAGGTTAGAGGTTGGACTTGATGATCTTGAGGTCTCTTCCAACCTAGAAATTCTGTGATTCTGTGATACTTCTAATCATGCATCATTATATTTAGCTTCCTGGTACTCTAGTTGCCTGCAGTGCTACCTCCTATTATTCCAAACACTTTGAGCTGAAAAGTAATGACATAAAATAATTATATATAGTCACTCAGACACCTGGGATTCAGAGCTGTAGTCAAAATACAGTGTAGTACTATGGGATGTGACCAGCGTGGACCAGGAGGTGCTAGCCATAAGCATTGTGAATGTAAGCCAGACCCTGCCATTTAGCCTCAGATCACTTGGTCCATGTTCATACTTTATTTCACGGTAACTTCTGAGACAGATATCTGCAACATCCAGCCTGATTGGTGTTGGTCTATGTCTGAGGCTGATATAGATATATCAGAGGCTTCTATAGAAGCTTTCTCCATTTGCTTTCTTTTTGGAGTCACAGCTTGGCTTCTCACCTTAAAAATGGTATTGCTTTTCTCAAAACAAAAGCAGGGCAACTCCCTTTCTTGTCAAATTCCGTTCATGATACCACCATTTTATACAGTGGATATTAAAACATTCAGACAAGATCTGACAGACCTTGGTCCTGCTCATCCTTTTTGAATAGTAACAGTTTATCCTGATTACCCTGCAGTAGGTGGGTATGTTCCAGTTAAAGCTGTCCTGCAATGCAAAAAATATCCAATTTTCATGGATGATCAAGATCCCACAGGTATAAGTGCTGTCAGCATGAATACCAAAGTGGACTTGAGAAGGCACAGATTGGAGAACACTGTGGATTACAGTTGAACTTAAGGGTTACTCAGGTGCCAACAACTTTGTGTTGACAAGACTTCTGGGCATAGGAAAAAGAAAAATTTTAAACATGAAAGAAACTTCTCTCATAAAACTTTTGGTGACCACAGATAGAAACATATCTAGCTTTAAACACCATTTTCAAAGTAATTTTGAAGTATCCATCATTAAACACAAGTATTTATATTTTTCTCATATGTCCCTTTGGGTACTAATCTTTTTGTAAAAAAAGGATCTGTTCTAGTTTGGGACGTATAAAGATAAAATGTTAGATAAGTGACTAGAAAAAATTGTTCTGAGAAGTGGAAATAATGAAGATGATCTTTCCTTCACTTTACACCTTGTATTTGGATTTTCTGGTGTTTAAGAAGGTTAAAGTTCTACCTGGGGCTTTTTGAACTCCTGGGATATTAATAGATTGTCCATGTGTATTCTTCGAGGTGTTTTTTTTTTTTTTTTTTGTGGAAATTACCTCGTGCTTCAACCTTTTCCTCAATAAAACAAGTAATAGAGCCTCTCTCCTTTTCTTCTCCCAGTTGTCTGTTTTCAAATAGATGGTAGGGTATTAATGTACTAAGACCTAAAGTCTTCAGTCAAATTTGATTGAAATTGGCCAACATGTTCAAAAGCTATTAGAAATAGATTACTAAATATACCTTCACACACACCATGATACTTTTGTGTGAGTAAAGTGCATTTCTCAAGGAAACCAAGGCAAAAATTGTCTCTGAGCATAGTCAGAAGTATCTGCTCTAATGTTTAACAGAGACATTTTCATGTAAAAATGTCCAGTGTAAAGAATATATTCAGCATAGTCCTCTAAAAATCAATGATTCAACACCAAAAAGAGGAAATGAAATTGGGGGAAGGGAGGGGAGGGAGGGAAGCTATTTTAGTACAGTATAAAACATCAGTCAGTTTAGCATGCAGTCAGCAGTGCAGTCAGATTCATACTTTCACCCCATTTTAGTACAATTTCCTAGAAATATAGAAAAACAGATCAAATTCATATTAGAAGTGTTGCATTTAATTATAAACTAACAGAATGAGTGAAAGGAGTGTCATTGCTTTGCACTCTCCTGTCCAGAAATACTCAAATCACTGAGGAACCTGTAGCCCTTCTGTCATTGCTCTAGATTGTCACTTTGACATGGTAAGCATATGCTCCACTGCACCATGACAAGACATTTTGCTCATAGTACCTAACATTCTGCACTTTTAATCCAAGATGGATTATCTGGGATGAAAACATATATTATAATAGTACATATGATTTTTAAAATCTGAGATGAAATAAGTAAGGAAATGAAGAGTTAAGGGGAAAAAAATGTTCACCTAGGGAATGTTAAATGGTCATCAAATGTAACTAATGTAACTAATTTGGACAGTTTAAATTTAGATATGGAGTGAGTTTTCTGTGGATGTCCTCCAGAAGATGATCTATCCTATCCTTCAATAGAAAGGATAAAGAAACCACCCCAAAAAAGACCTCCATGGAATATGGAAGACATTACTGAATAGACGTCTAGCATTATGACAACTAAAAAAAAATGAGAGTAAAGATCCTATCGTTAGAGATAATGGAGAAGCCTTGTGAGAAAAAAACCTTTCTCTAACCTGTATGCTCCCTTTCCAGGAAATCCATACTCTTCTAGTGCAAACTGTAATTCATATCACTATAGATTTATCTCTACATACTGCTTTCTTCTGTCAGCTATGCCCAATGTTAATGACTTTGACTTAAAAACCTAAACTCATCAGAGCCTTTCCATCGGCTCTGATGGCTTTTCTAAGCTCATTATGTTCAGCCATGTTGTGATATACTGATATACTGATAAATAAATTGAAACACATTACACTATTGTCTATACAATGTTTTTCTGTTGTTTTTCTGTTTTTTTTGTTGTTGTTGTTGTTGTTTTTTTAATTTTGATTTTTTGTTCCTTTGTGAGAACATGAAAGATTAAGCCATACAGAAATCCATGTCTAATCTCTTTATGAAGTTGTCTGAGAAGATAGAAGGGTGTTTTTGTCTGAAAACAGGATGATATCCTTTTATCAAGGTGCAGTCCTGAATAACTTTATAGAAATAATCAGGATTATTCTGGATGTACCATGTTTTAGTAAAGAAAAAAATCTGATCCAGTGACTGGCAGTTCTATCTTGAATGAGAAGAGTGTTGGATGTCCTCAGCATCTTCCCTGTTAGGATCAGTCAGTTTCTGTCCAACTTATTTCCTGGATGTTTTTCCTTCGTGTTCTGGTAGACTTTATGTGGGAGGGCTGGGGTAGAAAGCACAGCCATCAGGAGGGGAGTGTTCATTTTTGCATTCCTGAAAGTCACTGCTGGCTGTACTAAATGAGGATAATTGGTAGGAACTGATTAGTCTCATAGGAGGGCATTATTTAGGGTTGAGAACTTCTCACAAATTGTCCCTTCTGCACTTACTGCTTGAGAGGCATAATCTCAGCGACCCCAACGTTCACAGTACAGGAGATTGATTTCCTCCTTTTTCTTTTTCTTTCCCCCCATCAAACTCTGCAGGTCAGTCCCACCCCAGGGTGCATCCGGGCGTTAATGAAGATGTTGTACTGCCCTTACTGCAGAGGACTTCCCACTGTGAAACCTTGCAACAACTATTGCCTCAATGTAATGAAGGGCTGCCTAGCAAATCAGGCTGATTTGGATACTGAGTGGAATCTGTTCATAGGTAAGAGGAGTTTAAATATTAGTGGAAGGAAATGCTGGTAATAGCAAACATCTTCAGAATTTTGTGAGGTTAGAAGTTTCTGTTGGTCAGTATTTGCAATGAATCAATTGTAGATGCATCTCACTTTCTAATTGACCTTCTTGGCTTGCAGTAAAAACTAACAAACAAACAAAAACTATACAAAAAAAACACTTCCAATCTAGAGCCAATCATATTTCATATTTCAAAAGGATTGGTGTGGTGTTCCAGGTTCTGAGCTGCTGAGCTGAATTATTATAAGATATGTGAAACATTGAGAAAGCTTTGGTTGAGGATATGATAACAAGCTTAACATGGCAGAAATAGCATGTACTACAACTGAAAACAAGGTTCTTGCAAGCTGATAATAATAAGCAAGATGATAACATCATATAAGATCCATTTAACATAAATTACAATAACTGTTTGTCTTGATTATGGTAGTATAGTAGTATATAAGTAAAAAAACTTTAAAAGTTACAAACATGCAAAATTATTAATTCCCTGTTCACAGTTAAAATATGTTAATGTCTCAATTTCAGTGTGCTGAATAGAAAATATCAAACATACAAGCATAATGTTAGTATGGAGTATAGAGAATGTATTTAAGGAAAACTGCTATTAAAGTTTTATTTATATAATTCTTCACTCAAGTAAACTAACAAACAAATAAAGAAATGTCCTTTAATAGCCATTCAGATATCCTGGAGCAAAAGAACTCCCTGAAGAGTAACATTTAAAAAGAAATAAGGTCTTCAAATTGATTCTGATCATACATAGTACAAGGATAGGGTAAGGAATTAGCGAAGGCTAATGATAATATAGAGAGAACAGAAGCAGCTAGTTACATCAACCCCTAATGAGCATCCTACGCTAAACTGTATTTTTGGAAAACAAAAGCAGATGGAAAACATGGCATAAAGGTCTTTTAATACAACTAAAGAAAGCAAATATTGTTTTCTACTCTTGGAAAGACAAAATATGAGCAGTCTCATTTTGCTAATTTCAAACCCCACTGACCAATGTGACACTGAAAGCACGATTCTGACTCACATATGGATTTTCAGTTTACTCATCACAGAGGTGGTAGAAGATGGATAGGGAGAAGAAAAAAGGATGAGAAAATGAGTTAGAGTATGCAAAATGACAAACAGTATTAGGTGTGCTATAAAAATAGCACAAGCAGAAATGCAAATAACAATAATAAACAAGTGGTGCAAATTGACATGCATTCTCAGTCCCTTGTACTTGTTAAAGGAGCTGTCACAGGAAGCAACACTGTATGGAGGGGTACCTGTGACATTACTGGTGTGAAAGGAGGAGTCAGTTCATCATCAGAAAACTAAATATTAACTGATGGGAAAGCAATGCTGACCTATTAAACATATAATGAAAACTACTTTCACTTTGATGATAAAGAGAAAGCTGAATTGTGACTAATTCTAATCAAAGAAAATTTAGGCTTTTAGAAATATATAGATATATATAAATTAAAACAAGCAACGGAGTTTTTATTAAGGTAAGCACCTGTCCAAATCAAAAACTGGAATGAAAAATTTCATGTCTTAAGAGAAGATTTTCTTTTCTGGTACTTTGAATTCAGTGAGAGAGCTGGGCAGGGTGAGTTTTGTTTTAAAGAAGTGTGGAAATGCTTACTGATTCAGACTTTCAAAGTCTTTGATGTGAAGCCCTTGTCTTCATCAATCTCTCTCACATTTTGATCGTTCCTGTTCTCAGAGAAGCAAAACTCCATAAAAGCTTGTATATTTTGTTAAAATATGGTGTTAATTTATTAAATACCATGTAAAACACTAATCGCTTCCTAAAGGAAAGCAGACTGCTATGCAATTATCCCCTCAGGTCAGTGACGACAAGGCAGTATAAAACACTAATACATCAAGACATGTTTTCTCTTTCTTCTACCTATACAACTTTCCCTGTACAAATTGATAGAAGAAGGAATAGAGAAGGTGAGATAGACATTTTCCTGTGTTTGGAAAAGGTATTCTGTTTTATCCCATTTTGTGAGACCTTTGACAACTTTGCTGAGGATGAGGGTCCTTAGTCCTTCCTTTATAAAAGATTGAAATGCAGCAAGTTGTCTCTGCCTCTGACAGCTGTCAGAGGCTTTCTAATAACACATGCAATTCCCTTAGTACTAAACACAACAAAACTTCTACTCACTGAATTAAAACGAACGGCAGCACTTTACAGCACCACTGAGCTATGAAAGATTGGAAAGCATGCATGAGCAGTTTTTATTCCTGTTCCAATGTTAGGAACCATGCACTAGGCAAAGAAATAATAATTTTGTGCACTAACAGTCCCTGCGTAGGCAGGAATCCCAAATGTTAGTGCATATTCATACACAACAAGATAAGTTTGCTTAGCTTAAAATCTGTGTATTGCAAGGATGTTTTGGCAAAAGTTAGTATTGGGAAAAAACTCTCAGATGTGTTTGTTACTAACCAAGCAAATAGTATAATTTAGACTACATATTCTGGTATTGTTTTGTAGTTACTCTAATTGTCCAGCAACAACTAAAATCTACAAGTGAGGAGGAGCAGTGGAAAGTAAATGGGCTCTCTGACAACAGGATGTGTTAACATGTTCCACCTAGTTTATAACTGCAAAAGTCAGAACTGAAGTCACATTTATATAGCACTAATAAATCTTACGTTCACTTTTAAAGCTAGGGAGAGTAGGACAACTTCCCCTAAACATCTGGTGCTTTCCAAGATTTTATAGACTGTGAAAATTGGTAAGAGGTGAAACAGCTGCAGCAGCATGACACATGGTTTATTATATTTTTCCTTTTTGTGTCACCTTAAGATCTGTGTCCTTTTTGTGTAACATTTCACTACAGGGTTTTTGTATTTTGTTTTCATTATTGCATAATAAAAGCCAAATGTAACACATCCTGTTCAAGCAGAATTCCTATGAATATCAGAATTTTTCATGAGAAAAAAGACATAGTCATTAATAACTACATTATAATTACAAAACCATAATGATTAAATGCTTCTTCCAGGTACCTATAAAATATTTAAGAGATAAATCAGCCACACCAACTTCAAAAAATGTGTATTTTGAGAAAGCTTGCTTTTGATGTTTTGCCTCTTAGTTACCCCTCATAATCTCCTTTGCATCAGTCTCAGGCAAAGTTAGCAAAGGAAAAGTAAAAAGGATGAGTAGAGGAACTGCACTGCTAAGGAAGGAGATTGCCTCAGGGGAGGAGCTGACTGATTCAGTGGAATGGGGAAAAGAAGATTTTCTAGGTCCCATGTCCCAACAGATAGAGTCAAAATTATACTTCTTTCCATGGAGCAAGAGCAATTAACAGTGGTAAGGATCAAGGACCCCACCATTTTTTCCGTCATGGAAACACAGAAGAGACAATGCTGAAGTTATTCCTACTTACAAAGATTTGAAAACTATCTATCTTCGGGAATTACATTCAATTTTAGTTAACTGTTACTCATCTTTCTTTAGCAACCCTTTATTTCAGTCCCCATTTCCATCTTGAGATTCTTTCAACTGCTCTTTGTCTCAGGCAGGTATGTCAGCCAAGGAACTAGCTCCCCTTAGTGGGCACGACAGTTTTCCTTGGTGCCCTCATTCAGCTTCAGAAGCAACACCTGCAGAAGATGGTTTTCATGTAGGAACCTGCAACTCTTATTCTGATCATTGACTCAGGATGGCAAAGTGGCTATAACCTATTTGCTTTCTGCAGGATTTCTTTCTCAGCCAGCAGTAGGTTTAACTTTCTTCTATCTTGAGACAAAAATGTAGATGAGACTAAATCTAAGTGAGACTGTGAGTCAAATATACTTATCCTTACTTTATTCAGCTCAGAAAAATAGTAAAAATAAAGATATTTGCTTTAATCATGCTAATGATTGTACTTGGGTTTATTTTGTAGACATTAAAATAAATCATAAATGCTCTGATGCTGCATTTAGTAACAGTCTACAGTAATGTGGTGCCTGTTTAGATCATGTTTGCTTTGCTGCAATCTATGGAGGTTTGTCACTTTGTCACTACATGGCTATTAATAGCAGCAGAAATTACAAGTTCAGTTTGTGTTTTTTTTTGTTTGTTTGTTTTATTTTATTTTATTTTATTTATTTATTTATTTATTGGTTGGTGTTTTTTCTAAGAACCACTAAGAACAGTAAATCAGGCATGCCTTGACTTTTCTCCTGTGTTTTAGTAGAAGGGAGACTGGGGTAAACACTTCAGGAGTTGTGCAGTAACAGAAATATCCAAGTGGCTGTGGATCTGATTTCTTAAGGCACAGCTCAGGACCACATCCTTGTCTGTGAAAAAAAGCCAAGGGGATCCTGCACTAGTCCATGGTCACAACCGAATAGCAAGCAGTTTTGCTAGTAGTATATTCAATATTTGATAAGTTTTGTAGTGTAGCAAGGCAGACCCCTCTGTGATGTTCCCAAACTATAGTTTTCAAGGCCAGCAAAGCTAGCATCCAGACTCAGAGAGCCAGAGCCATCTCTTACTGCCAGCACCCTGCTATCCAGCATCCACAGAAAATCATACCTTCAAGGTTTCAGCAAAAGCTTCTCCTGCCAGTCTTGAAGTTATTTCACTTACTGTCTGTGCAGCAGCTCTGAACTACTAATAAACTTTTTCATTGCTGTGCTTTAAAAATCCTTTTTTTTCCTCCCCATCAGTATGACTCAGACACTTACCTTAGGAGACCTCTTGAGATAGAGCATACCATGCAATCTCCATTATAGCAACTCAATCATTTTAAGTAAAACACCCCATCAAAACCTTAACTACTTACTCCTAATGAAAGCTTTAGAGTGATGAAAATATGCAATCAGTTTTATTTACTGCTTACAAAAGCCCTCAGGACTGTGTGTTTTCTCTGTTCCATGTGCAAGCACAAGGATAAATATTTTCCTATTAAAGCTTCAAAAGACCACCCAGATCTGTTTCCTGTTACTAGCTTATTATGA